ATGTCGGCGGATGGATTTATGAAGGATGAGGTTAATCATAGAATTGATGAAGGAAAAAAGGCGATTGGTGCATTGAGGTATATGTGGAGTCAAAAAACGTTATCTATGGAGGCAAAGAAGGGAATGTATGAAAGTATAGTAGTACCAACACTTATATGGGTGTGAAGCTTGGGTTGTGAATGCAGCAGCGAGGAGGCGGTTGGAGGCAGTGAAGATGTCCTAAGGGCAATGTGTGGTGTAAATATTATGCAGAAAATTTGGAGTGTGGAAATTAGGAGAAGGTGTGGAGTTAATAAAAGTATTAGTCAGAGGGCTGAAGAGGGGTTGTTGAGGTGGTTTGGTCATTTAGAGAATGGATCAAAGTAGAATGACCTGGAGAGCATTTAAATCTGTAGAAGGAAGGCGGGGTAGGGGTCGTCCTCGAAGAGGTTGGAAGGAAGGGGTAAGGGAGGTTTTGTGTGCGACTGGCTTGGACTTCCAGCAGGCGTGCATGAGCATGTTCGATAGTGAACGGAGACGAATGGTATTTGGGACCTGACGGTCTGTTGGAGTGTGAGCAGGGTAATATTTAGTGAAGGGATTCAGGGAAACTGGTTATTTTTATATAGCTGGACTTGAGTCCTGGAAATGGGAAGTACAATGCCTGCACTCTAAAGGAGGGGATTTGGGATATTAGCAGTTTGGAGGGATATGTTGTGTATCTTTATACATATATGCTTCTAAACTGTTGTGTTCTGAGCACCTCTGCAAAAACAGTGATTATGTGTGAGTGAGGTGAAAGTGTTGAATGATGATGAAAGTATTTTCTTTTTGGGGATTTTCTTTCTTTTTGGGTCACCCTGCCTCGGTGGGAGACGACAGACTTGTTGGAAAAAAATATATATATAAATTTAAATAAATCATAATTTATATTTTATTTCAATAAACATTCTTTTTGATTACTATTAGCTTCTAATTTAAATTATATAGATGAGCCACTTCTTATATCATTTACTAAAATTATTTTATTATAAATTTTATTTGCCAAAATTTTCTTTTGAGAATTTTTGGCTACAGGATGTATGAAGAACAACAGTCTGTTTTTAAATTGAATAAATTTGTAAATGTCATAATATAGTTATAAAAATAAAATGGGGAATCAAGGAAAGGAAAGGAAACAATATTGTGCCAATTACACTGCTCAGCTAGCAGATGATAGGTACAGCACATTGTTCATTACTACACTTAAGAATTGTAAAAAATTTTTATTTTATGAGTAAACTTGGTTAATGGAGCCTGACTTTTCTCCAATGTGTTATACACCATGCAGCCCAATTTGGATGCATGTATATTTTCAGGAGCATAAGTATTGGATTAAATAAGATTTTACTGTACATCCATTCATTATTTTCTAATTGGCTAAGACATGGTGTGCTTGAGGAAAGTCAAATATCATATTTGAGTACCAGAAAAAGGTATTGAGTGTCGGTAAGATATACAACAATCTTACTCTGTTCGACAGTTATTAAAGTATAGTTATGATTCTATAAGGTAGGCATCATAAGACCTGGAAAAATATAAAAAATATGATGGAGTCCTCTGCCAATGGTGCAGCCAGCAAACAAAGGGGAGGGGAGGACAGCCCTATTGTAAATAGGAAAAATGTGCTCCCTTTCCCCACAGCAACAGCTGTATCATCCATGGAGTGGAAGGGACTCATCTGAGTCATTCCAGTCCCAGAGCAACTACTGATGTATTTTTTTTCCACCTCAGCAGTTTTTTTTTTTTTATTCTTAATTTTTGCAAAGCCATGTCAAGTCAAAATATGTTAAGTCATTTCAAGTAAAACATGCAATGACATCACAAAGTAGATGGCTGAACAAATGTAAAACCTAATCAACTTGAGCTTTTCAAACTTCCTGCCACAAGCGGAAAGTAGTGACATCTGTCAGTCGACTGTTGGCTGTATAAGAGTCTACAAGCAACACCTAGACCTTCCATGCTCTCCCCTGGTTTTTGTTTTTGACTCTGGCATTGCACTATCTCACCTGTATAGATCATAAAATAAATCCAGAAAATGCTCTAGTCTTTGTGTTGGACTGTCATACATATAACAGATTATTAACATTCCTTTTGAATCATAATTAATGTACAATTACAAAGAAAGAATGTAGAAATAATATAAAGTCCACACACAAAAAAATGTATGCCTGAATTGTTAACCTCCCCTTTACAAAGATGTGCTAGTTAAGAGATTTGTTCAGATTTTTAACCCAGGATAACCCAATGAAGTTAGTGCATCACAGGGAACTGTCTTATTTCCACTGGGGTCCTTTAATCATATTCCCCCAGGATGCAACTCACAACAGTCAATTAACACCCAGGTACCTACTTACTGCTAGGTGAACACAGAAATCAGGTATAAGGAAACCAGCCCAACAATTCCCCCCATTGTAGATGAATGGTTCAAAGAACCGACATGTTATTAAATTAGACACATGTGCAACTCTTGGGTAACTTCATTGAGAAAACGTTTCGCCACACAGTGGCTTCATCAGTTCATACGTAGGAGGAACTAGAAGAACAGGAGCAGAATGAGGTAATCAGTCCTCAAACTTGAGTCGATGTGTTCACTCCATCAATCGTGAATAGAATACGGCATATAAGCGGAGAAGCAGCTTATAAACCGTATGGCAGGAGAGGTGCAGCAGTCGTAGGTGGTGTCACATTTGTCCAATGTGGAAGTAGGTCGTGCCCAAGGGTTAGGCAAGCGAAGAATTCCCAAGTATTAAGATCCCAAGTGTCTGACAGGATTGTAGAATCCTGTCAGACACTGCAACTTCTTGTGATCTTAATACTTGGGAATTCTTCGCTTGCCTAACTCTTGGGCACGACCTACTTCCACATTGGACAGATGTGACACCACCTACGACTGCTGCACCTCTCCTGCCATACGGTTTATAAGCTGCTTCTCCGCTTATATGCCGTATTCTATTCAGATTGATGGAGTGAACACATCGACTCAAGTTTGAGGGACTGATTACCTCATTCTGCTCCTGTTCTTCTAGTTCCTCCTACGTATGAACTGATGAAGCCACTGTGTGGCGAAACGTTTTCTCAATGAAGTTACCCAAGAGTTGCACATGTGTCTAATTTAACAACAATTCCCCCCATGCTGGAAGTTGAACCACAGACACTCAGTTGATCAAAAAATGGCAGCAAACTGCAAGGAGTTCGTGCCTACATGAAAAGCTAGCTTAGTATGCAAATTTTTATTTTTATTATTTTCATCAAGCTTTAACACAAGTTTCACTCTTAAGAGAATTTTGAGGTGGACTCTATGACATGAGCTGTGACAAAGTGGTGCAACCAAAGGTCATACTAGATGACCATTATATAATTATCAGCCACCAATATCTGTCTTCATATCACTGCCATACATACAAGAGCATTAAAATATAAATTACAGGATACTGAAGCCACTACAACCTTGTTAAGGTCATAGTGGCTTTAGTCTCAATAAGCAACATGTTCCATGAAAAGCTTGTAGATAGTGAAATTGTAAGATACTGAATTTATATTTCAATAGTTAAAGGGGGATACAATGCATCAATTTCCCATCCCCAGATATTATGTGCTAATTTGGGTTAGTTGTAGTAAAAATGGTTATCTAACAGACATATAATACTGTATGGTATGTGTGCGAGGAGATGTGATTGTGTATGCCATGATACAATGTGGTACATAAATAACAGCTCCAGAGCCAAGCTTGAGGAAAACAGTCTAATACTATGTGAGCATCACAGATCAACAAGCCCATAGGACCTAAAACAAAATTTGCAAATCCACAAACAGTAAACTCAAGATATACTTAGGAAGTATAGTGCTGTGCAATATTAAGCGAAGATACAACAACATGCATCATTCTTTCTTCAGCTTCGAATACAATATTGGATGTTCAACATTCACAAGAACAGAAAATATTAAGTACATATTAAAAATTTACAATAATAAAATGAATTTCATACATATAAATTAATTGATGAAAAATTACTTTGATAGTTCTTTCTGCCATATTAACTTGTATGTAATTAGTCTGTCTTTATGCTTCAAATTTTTTTAACCTGTCTGCATATTGTAAACTATGTTCTCACCATCGCAATCACAGATGCATCTGTCAAATGAAAAATATACAAGGTTTCACATCATTCCTTTAAAAACAACTGTACAGCATGCTATATCATTATCACCTACCTAATAACTGCACCAAGATCAGTGTGGAAGTAGCACTTAGCACTATTTCTTTCCATGGGCACACAGACATCATGGTGGATGCACTATGTCTATACACTTCTGGAAAGACAGGTAGAAACTCTGTGAAGGTTTGTGTATTTTTTTCTTTGCCTGTTTTGGTAGGACACTGCTGATGTTAAAAAATTGGATTGCAGTTTCTGTGATATGGTAAACAGTTGAACATCAAGAAATGATGTGAAACCTTGAATATTTTCATTTGTAACGTGCATGACTTAAAAAAAAAAAGTTTACAGCAATCACTGATGACTCTACAAACTGATTAAATTTTGAAATGATTAAATCATAAAAAGTTTTGAGCTATATATTATATATGTGACAAGAGGCAAAATTTGAAAGCTAATAAACAACTATATAAAGCACAGCTCTGTAGTAGCCATACATTCGTTGTTATTACTAATAAAGACAGTACCAATGATTAATACAGTTTCCATCTTATTTAAAGCAAAAAACCTAAATGGAATTTTATAAATGATCTATGAAAATGAATCCAGTCAAACTGCCAAGTTCATTTTTTCACTAGCACTGTAGATAATACAGTATTTGTATACTATGTACTGTTGATGTGGCAAGTATATAAAAGTAGGAAGCATGTATTGCAGCACAGTGAAAATGCAAAATAGAGAAATTTATCATGTCAAAACCTTTATATGTTGAGCACTGCTTAACTGAAATGTTGTCTGATTTCAAAAAAAATAAAAACTGCCAAATTCATCTTATAATTTAATACTATAGATAACTAATTACAATACAGTATTAAAATATATAAATTGTAAACAAAATATTTAAACTTTGCAAAAACATTCCTATTACACAAAATCTATACACTTGTATTTGTATACATAACTTTTTTCAAAGTACACAGGATGAAAATATGTAATATAAAATTCCAATGTAGATGTGTATATATACACACACTTCAAAATAAAACTGTTAAGGAAAAGCAATACAACTATCAAGCTTCATGCCTTTTTCTTCATAAACATGAAACATGATTGCCAACACCAGGTAGCATCATTTACAAACAAAACATCCTATTTCTGTTGAGGCACCTAAATAAATAACTATACTTGATCTGAAATCTCCACTTACATAGCTGATAACTCCAGACTTATTATATGTAACATTTCTTAAATTTTTTTTTCTTTCTTCTTTGGGGTCACCCTGCCTCGGTGGGAAATGGCCGATGTGTTAAAAAAAAGATCTTAAAAGTGCATGTTTCCACAAAATGAACTTATTTTAAGTTCTTCCAGAAGCAGACAAGTTGCCATGCCCAAACTATAGTTAATTTCTTAAGATTTCTTGTCATATGTACATATTTTGTCACAGAATGAATATCCTTTTCAACAAACATAGCAAATATTAAAATCAGATAGATACCTTAAAGCCATGTGCTTGATCAGTTGCTCATTTTCAGCATTATTAATACTTAATTTTATTCTACCAACATAGCAATACCATCTTTGGTGGACTATCATACAAAATGCCTTTGAAAAATTATCTTTAAGTGACCTTCACAAACATGGATTTATAATCCATCAAGCTTACTACAAGATTAGTACAGTATGTAGTAACTTCTACAGAATCTTAACATTAACAAATGTGGTCAAGTATTGTCTTTGTTTTGTACTGCTTATCAAACTTCCTAAAACCAATAATCTAATTTTTATACTACTGTACTATTTATTTCCTTCTGCACACTGGCTATGTCAATGTAATTTTTTGCAAATTCTTAAGTCCAAGAATCGCAGTTTCTAACTGCTTCACATTCAGGATAAATAAAGTACAGCACATTCACAATTTCTTTGCATGAGCATTTATCACTCACTTCTTAAAAAGGAAAGGGGAAACACACACACAAAACTAAAGCATATAGGATTAATACTACAGTTAGCATACTTTAGAAAGTGTCAAAAGGATAACTACTGAGTGAAGATACTGAAAAAAGTGAATGCACCAAACATTTTCTTTTTATATTGTATAATTTTTGTTATAGTATATGGTAGTATATAAAAGCATGAAAACACAAGTACAGAGGCAGAGAAGCAGGAATATGTGCAGTATGTTGTTTCTGTACCCCCCTTAACAAGAAGCAGGAAGAAAACCCTGTTTAACACTTAATTATGCCTATAAGAAATGACATTCAGTGTCTCAGACATTAACTTAGTCCCATGTCTTTCTACTAAATCTTTGTCATTGCAAGTGGGTGTTGTTAGATAATAAATTATATAAAGTAACCAATTTGTTATGAAAGTCTAAGCAGGTACCACCATGCATGTGCCACAAACAACATATATTACAACACTGGTTAACACTGTAATTCAGTCTCATGTTATATATCACTGTCAACACATGTAGTATTTATGGTATTCATAGCTACCATTTAGTAAACCAAACTATATTTAATCCATTTAACGTCATCTTAAACTGCCCTAAGTGACTTATGTAATATTGCATTACACAGTTCATGAACCAAAATTTAGTAGCAAGCACATTCAAGAAGCTTTCTCAAGTGTACTTTTACAATTTTGCATCAACTATCAAAGGATATGTTGTAATGAGAACTTGTTTATATTATTTTCCTGTCAAAATATGCAAAACAATTGTAATGCAAATATTGTTTTAACACTGTGAGGTATACTATCATTGTTTAATATTTGGTCATATGCTTAAAAGGTCAAAAGACATAGTATAATGTATTCTGATGAAAATTAACAGCATTTTGTATATAGCAAATATTGTACTGTATACAAAACTTTCAACTAATTCTACATATATTAATAAATTTTTGAATGTATTAAAAGTATTAGTTTTGAAAATTTAGATTTCATAATAAACAGAAAAGTTATCTTCATACACTAGCAACAATATTTCTCTTAGAAAGTTAAGAGTGCATAACTACCATGTTATTATAATTTATTACTCCTGTACGTATGTAATTGGCCACATGATGTTTCAGGGAAGTGTGCAGGCTTCAGCTACATTCCCTCGAGTAGGCAGCTGCTCATTTAACTGTAATAATCAATATAATTTTTTTAATAATGAACACAATCATTTACCTTCTCCTGAATGATGTACTGTATTTGTTGTTTCCATATACTGTATTACGGTACTGTAGATTCTAAACCTGCAATATACTATGTCTTTTTTCTAAACACCTTTACAACTACTATGTAACAGTTTCACATAAAGGATTTGTTCAATGATGAATTCCTCCAATTCCTCCATGAAATAAATGAGATGACTACATGAAATGGTAATTAACCAACAACCATCAAAACAAGGGAAGATTCAAAATAAAAATTAATATTATGATAAAAAAATTCATACCTAATCCTGAATTAATATAAATAATATAGATTACCTGCTGTATAAATTATATAAGCTATACTCATTTAACATTATTTCAATCACTATGAAGATAATATGGTATAAAATACTCATTCCTATGAAAATTAATTTAAAATTTATTTACTGTGTCTTAAGTACTGTACATATACTAGGTTGATGAATAAAGCCTGAGGAAAGTGACAAGGTGAATCGTCTAGAAATTACAGCATTTGTAATTACTGTCATTAGCATTAATTTTCTTGCAACTTCAGATAACCAACGTCAAAAAAATTCTTTGTACAGAGTGGAACCAAAAAAAATGCATTTGTGTTGACAACCTTTCTAGCAAAACAATACACAAGACGGCCTGCTTCTGCTAGTCTGAAATGAGTTCCATTTAACAAGATGTGTCTAGTAGTCTACATAGGGACAACAATGCACCATGTTTCATTTGTGCCTCTTCTTGTAGACATTACATTTTCAAATTAAAGTCAAAAAATTCTTCAAACTGCAATACAGACGTCCTGTTGCCTTTCTCTACCGTATGTGTCTTGGAGATGAAGATAAACCTCCTTCTACATGTATTTGCTGAAAAAAAATAGACTTAGTTTAAAAAATTTCACATGACTGTCACTTCGTTATTATGGATATGCGTATATACAGCAAGGACAGGAAGCCAAAGGCTTGCCGAGTCCTATCCATAATGGTTAGATCTAATGGTATTGTACATTAACCTGACTAAAGAAACACTGTACATATGATCTACAATGCCATGCCACTTTCTGTATACTGGGTATATATGTATCTTACTGTATGAACATACAGTACTCTGCTGGCTGTTGTGAGGGGGAGCTTGAACTCATCTTCTCACTTCCCATTCATATTCATGAAGTGATGAATGACATGCCTCCTGAAACCCACGAGACTGATGTACAGCATTTACATTTAATATCAGAAGAGGAAGAATAAAAAAAAACACTTATAACCCCAGATGATTATTGACCCAAGATTCCCAAGAAAATCAAGCAGTGTGGCTACTGCCATTTGGTCCTTTTTCCAGTATGTAACTCACAACAGTTGACTAACACTTAGGAACCTATTTACTCCTAGGCTAATATAAGAATAATGGAGCACTGCGGAAAGCTAACTGGCCCATGCTAGGCAGGTCCATTTCACACTCAGCCACAATCACTCGTGCACCTGTCCAACCTATTTTTAAAGCTGCCCAAAATTCTTACTTCAACATTGCTACCTGCAGTTTGTTCCAAACACCCTGTGTTTCACATATCCTTTTGAAATTTAATTTTCTCTAGCTTAAATCTTTAACTTAATTAAAGGCACAGAAGAGCAGTGCTCAACGACAAGCACAATCTCATTCATAAATTACAATGTACTGTAAATAAGACTTCTGTAGTTTCCTTTTACTACTAACCTGTGGTTGTCTATCATCATCTTCATCTTCAATGAGTGGGTCTGCAGATATAAGCAACTGGTCTCGTCCAGCACTCGGGAGTAAGCTACGTCCACTGGTGCGTTTGCGGCGTGAAAAAACCTTTGCTATCTGTGCAAATTTCTTTCTTGATGCTGAAAAATGAACAAGAATCTGGTGTAATGTGAATGGATTCCAGTATATATACTGTACGTATTTTTAACATATTAGACATTTTTTGATGAGGCATGATGAACCAAAAAAGAGAACTCATTCATCATTACCTACTCCTCAGCTGTACTTCAGAAAGACACAGATATGATCCAATGCCCCATTAAACCACAGAGTCCTTTTTCAGGGTGACCCAAAAAAGGACTAAGTAATTTATACTGTAGAAGGGGTTAATAGCCCATTGCACCCAGCACTCAACAATTATATAAATGCAGTAGCTAGTAATACTGTTTAAGGACAAGAATGTGAATACAGTGTAAAATGAGTTTCACTTGCCTTTAATACTACCACCCTGATACTCATACATAATGAAATGTAATAGTCCAATGCCCTCGTGTAATAGATAGTCTTTTTAGTATGTAAGTGTACTTCATAAAATAATAAGAAATTTATACCTGTATTAATAATAGGTTAAAAGGACCCAATGGAATAAGTCACTCTGTCTGAACTTTGGATATAGGTTCTCTACACATAGTTATGTATGATAATTCTATGTAACTGTATTGTGTATACCTGAATAAATTTACTTACTTACTTACTTACTTACTTACTTACTTACACCTCCCACCTCTATTCTAACCACAATTTTAACATTAAGTTTCTTAGCAATTGTTAAAATTTAAAGCCTAATTATCTTTCTGTCACCTCCAGCATCACTTTCGTTCCTTTTAAGTGACAAAAGATGAAGCAAGGGGATAGTATGAATGAAAATAGAGGATAACAGATAGACTATCGTATGGTACATGTCCAGAGACTGATCACTAGTTTGTTTGCAAGTAGTGTGCTGGGCCTTCCCAATGCCAAAACATGTCCAAGGGGTTAAGGGATGCTTCATAAGGTAATGTACTCCATTAATTCCACCCTGGCACACCTTAATGGTAATGGCTAGCTACTAATGGAAATGAAAAACTAAGTTTAAATCGCAGAATATTGAAAAAGCAACTAATAGTAGTTTACCATATATACAGCCTTATACAGGCTCAATAATTAAACAATACTACGGGCAGGGATAGAACCCGCGATCAGAGAGTCATAAAACTCCAGATCGACGAGCTAGCCACTGGGCCACAGTGGTGCCTATGCTAACCTTCCTATGGTGTATAAATATAACTAGTTGGATGAATTTATTGTAGCCAGTTGGCCCAGTGGCTAGCACGTCAGTCTGGAGTTTAATGACTCTGATCACGGGTTCTATCCCTGCCTATGGTATGGTTTGTTTGCAATCGTGTCATTATGATTTCGCGAGTCAGGCTCAATAATTATTCTTTTGCTAACCTTTTCCCATAGTAGCAATTCTCTCTCTGAGTGTTGCATCATCAAGCTGAGCAAGTTGGCCTTTACCTTCTGCTCCTTCCATTTCGTCATCATCTCCAGCTTCAGATTCATAATCTGAAATCCAATTTTTTACTTTAATATATATATATGAGACAATATAATATAGGTGTATCAAAGAGATGCTGAAAAGAATGATACAGTATATCTTTCATGTATTATTTTTTTAATATTTACTGAACATATCAAGCATCAGGACCTAATATTCATTACGTTTCATACATAACCAAGCAAGGAAAGAAATCACTATAAAATACAACTGTAAATATGAAAAATACCACAATGATAAATAAAAAACAGAAACAATTGGGAATTTTTATGCAGCTACACACATCTTTGGAGGAACTATGGTAGGTGTTTCTGTTATTAAAATTTTTCTTGTGGTACTGTTGATAACATAATAAATCGTAATAAAAATAACATGTATGATTGCTTCAGAAGATGCTATGCTCCTGTAATAATATGGGATACAAAATGTATTTCAGAAATATTAATAAAGTACTGTATACCAAACCCATGAAATAGAATTATGAACCTCTTAAGACTACATGTTCACCATGCTTGGTATTAAAGAGAAAAGATACCACCAATCTAGCTGCTTTATGCATGTCATACTACCATTTAGGTGTCACTAACCCTCTTGCAGTGCAGTCATAAACTCTCGATTAGTTCGTAGCTCATCCATGAACTCATCATTTTGGAGGAAGAGGGCTATACGTTCATCCTTCAGGTACTGAGCAAGTTCAGCATCACTCTCTCCAACTGCCTCTCGTGCCAGAGCATTTTCATTGAGTCGCTGACTCAGTCTTTGAGGAGATAACACTCCTACACCCTATAAAAAATATACACTAGTTAAGTGACTAGTATCTATCTCTATTCTCCTTTGTCAGCTTCAGTAGTTTTTGTCTATATTTAATCAAATTTGGCAAGCAATGTCAGTTTAACAAAAAGATATGTACAACAAACATCAGCCTTTAGTTCAAGTACACTATAGTCTGTCATAAGAAACTCTGTCAGCAAATGTTCTCAGCTCTAGTACACATTTAAAGCCCCCATAAGAGCTTCCAGTAAGTTTTAAGGTGATGGCTTCTCAATGTTACTGACAAATAAATGGTTATAGTTCATGGAGGACTTTCCTTCAAATTTTGCATGAGTCTTTAACTTTTAAAAATGACTTACAGAGATTAAAATTCATAAATAATATTAATGAAAAGGATATCATTATTTCTAACGAGTACCCTTTTAGTCAAACTTAACCTAATCTGTCATGTATCTTTAATGGTCTTCCTAAGTAATGTCCAAAACAGAATTCCTGGGAGCAATTGTGCCATAAATGCTTTGCCTTCATATAGTGCCTGATTAACCTCAGTCATATTGAGCTGTGCCACCAAGAGTCCCAAGGCAGTGGCATAAGGTAAATAACAACATTCCCAAAACCCCGTTTCAAAGAGTGGGAATACCAGTGACGTGTACTCAGTGAATATACTTGAGTTAGTAATTCTACCATAGGGAGCACAGCCACTACTATGACACACACTGAACATTTGCCTTCATTCACTAAGCTGCCTTTTCCAGAAAGGATGACACTGTAATAAAATACAGACTTACCAAACTGCAACATTTCCATCTCACTTTTGAGGTGGATTTCCTAAATTTCTTCATAGATATTACGTACCATGCTCACACTTCACATTAAAATCTCATTAACCACTTGCTTCCACTTATTGCATTAAACTGATCACACATTCCTGCTAGATGTTCAAGTCTCTACCTCTCAATACTTCTCAAACTTTCATTTCATCTATTCTTTTAACAGGACCAAGCCATTTCAAAAATACTTTTTACACCTTGAATTATACCTTTCATATCAACTCTGTATAATATTCTCATAACAATGATTGCAAACAAGATTTCCTCCCAGGTGTAGCATTTAAAGATAATGATGTTCACCCAAATAAGAGCATCTACAGCACTATACACTTTGATGTATTTTTATTTTAGCATAAACTGGCAAACTTGTTTTTCCCACAGATTTATAAATATACTGTACCTAAGACATTTTTCCTCATCTATTCTGTTACAGAGCTGTCTATTCATACTTATCCACTCCAAGAATCTTAACTGTCCATTCACTTGCTCCATCTGCCCTCCTTTCATTCTAAATCTCATCTCTCCAGAGTATGTTTTTATGTACCACAATCAACCTACTTACTCTATACTACTATTAAGTATATCCTTATCTCACCTATGGAATCCATACATGAGGATTTAAGACAGCTAATCACCTAAAACCAATCATAGCTCAACAAAAATATGCCATTAAGATAATTACTTAATCTGGTCTCAGATAACACACACCTCAACAATTCAAAAACTAGAACCTACCTAATGTACAGAGTATCCAAACATACTCCTGTGCAAGTTACATGTACAGAACACTCACTACAAATATTAACCCAAAGTTTAAACAATACCAGGATAGTTGCAACAGAACACACAGACACAACACCAGGATACAAGGGGCTTTCCTTCGAACACATAATTATTGTATTATCAGACCTATCCAATTCCCTGTAATATTTATTTATGTTTTGGGGAAATGTAAGTTTTGAGTTTGAGTTTTATATTTCCATTCAAACTTATTTGCCAACCTCTCCAGCTTTCTTTTTTTCCAAATCTTCTAACAGTACTGTATCATCTGCAAATAACAACTGTTAAGTACTATACTGTATTACCACTTGAAATCACATACACAAACAGCCTATATTCATACTTCTTATGATGATGTCACTAGACATATTAAATAACTATGGCAAGATTACATATCCTTGTCCAAATCCATCTCCAAAGAAAAACTATTCCTCTCTTTTCAGCATATCCTCATTCTGTTTTGCTCACCTCGTAATAAAACTCAAGAACATTCAACAATTTACCATCCCTTTCATATATTTGCAACACATGTAACATTGCTACACAATTCTGCCAGCCAATACGTCTTTTCCAAATCCACAAACTCAACTAGAGACAACAATTTTCCTTATCTAAGTACTGCTCCATGCTCATGCTGGTGCTTGTGATTGCATTTGTTTGTCTTTCCAGTTATTATATCTACACACTTTACCTGCTACAGTATATTGTACTTCTTCTTTCTTTCAACGTACCAGCCAAATCCCACCGAGGCGGGGTGATCCAAAAGGAAAAATGAAAGTTTCTCCTTTCAAACTTAGTAATATATACAGGAGAAGGGGTTACCAGCCCCTTGCTCCCGGCATTTCAGTCGCCTCTTACGACACGCATGGCTTACGGAGGAAGAATTCTGTTCCACTTCCCCATGGAGATAAGAGGAAATAAACAAGAACAAGAACTAGAAAGAAAATAGAAGAAAACCCAGAGGGGTGTGTATATATATGCTTGTACATGTATGTGTAGTGTGACCTAAGTGTAAGTAGAAGTAGCAAGACATACCTGAAATCTTGCATGTTTATGAGACAGACAAAAGACACCAGCAATCCTACCATCATGTAAAACAATTACAGGCTTTCGTTTTACACTCACTCGGCAGGACGGTAGTACCTCCCTGGGCGGTTGCTGTCTACCAACCTACTACCTATATACATGTATTGTACTTATATGACTAATTTTCCAATAATTCTTACTTTAACATGCATGGTACATACAAAAAAAAAAAAAAACCACACCCATCCATACCCACCCACAAACACAAACTCCCCCCCCCCCCACACACACACGCACACGCACGCATATACAACAGGCCTTGTGTCTAATCGACATGTGCCTAGGACAAAATGGTAACTAACACACACACACACACACTTTTATTCATCACCTTTCTTACAAAGAAGCAACACGCACTGCCAATTTCCTACACTGCATCCTCTGACAACCTCATTCTACATTTACAGAACAACAGTCCCAGAGTATCTACTAAACCTCATGGTTTTAAGGAATACAGAGTCCAAGTGTGAGGTTTTACTGTACATTATACAGTACTCTATATGATAAATTAAAATGCATAAATAAAATATACTGGTATGTAATGGAAAACAAATCCAGTACTAAATATGTAAAATATATTATTTATTTAAATACACAGATACTGTAAATTAGTATAATTTTGTTTATAAAACAGCACTATGCTGCAGCATCAAAGATATACAAAATAAACTTATAATAAATTCAAACTTTACTAAAAAGGATGTTCACCTGTTTCACATCTTCTGAATGATTATAATCTTCATCACTGCTGTCTTCATCAATATATGTTGTGGGCATGTACGGGTGCTGTGACTGGTGAATGTTACGAGCAGAGGGGGCACATGTATTATAATCACATTCATAATAAGTGGACTTTGTGGCAACGGCTCCAAATTCCCGTTTCATCCACTGCTTCCTGGCTCGGAGTGCATGAAATTTATCAATTCGGTGGTTAAATCTGGCCTTAGTCTGCATTATGCGCGTTTGTACCCACGACCACAATGCTCCTAAACACATCGTTGAAGTGTCCTCCAACTGTATTCACCAAGTTTTAATAATGGCTGTCAAAAGTTGTTTTCCATGTTTGCAGCATTACCAAATTATCTATAATTATAGTATCTTGCCTTCAGAAAGATTCTAAGTTTCTTTAGTACAGTTCACTTTCATGCACTCACTCCTCTCTCTAATCATACATGGTGCACTGTATAGTAATTTATACACATTTTCCACAGAACTGCAATAAAGTTAAGAGGATGGATACAGAGTATTGCACAGTTCATTAACAAACCCCTGGAAAAATGCATATTTGTCAAAAAATTATCACTTAATAATCAAAAAAACATAGCTAAAATCATAAAGTCACATTCGAATTTCGAAAAAAAAAAAATTTTTTAAAAAAAAGGGCTATCAATGAACTTCCCCACAACTTAGAATACAGTACAGTAGCCCATACATTCAACATTACCCCTAACTTGTTTACCGGGAGAGGGTTTTTTGGGGTCAACCCCCCCATAGCTCAGCTGAGACCAGGCCCCAGGGGGATCAATCTATCAACGGGGGGGGTGTTTTACTGCGGCCGCACGCAATTTTACGTACAAACCACAGCCCGGGGTCGGAGACTTGGTGCTTTATACACAAATTTTTCCTTGCTTTTCTAATATTTAACTCTAGCTGCACTGTGACCATGATAAAATGTATGCTCCTCATGCATGCAAGAACAGAAAACTCGATTTTACAAACCCCAGAAATACGAGATAAAAATTTTGTTTTAAAACAAAAAAAAGGGACAATACCGTTACTGGAACGTCACAAAAAACCCGCACATAAAAGAGATGTGACTTTTTTTCAAAGGGCCAATCGGACCAAAAAGTCGTCGAAGCTTCTCTCTTTAATGTGCGGGGATTTGGTAAAATTCTTGGGTCAGCGTTTAAAAAAAAACAAGGGGGAGTACACACACCCTATTATTTATATATATAATTCGAGGTAGGGTAGGGTTTGGGACCACCTCTACCCAGTCTAAGGGAACCGTGGGCGGGGACACCTACACTACTCGAGACCTCCTCCCTGTTTGGGTTTCTCCCTTGCAACATTGCACGCTCCTGATATGCCTGAAATGTGAGAGTCTTGAGCAAGATTTCCACCCCCGTGGTCATCCTGCATTGTGTGTGTGTGTGGGTGTATATATATATATACAGTGGACCCCCCAAACGATTACCTCCGAATGCGACCAATTAGTAAGTGTATTTTTTAAGTGCATTTTTACGTGAGTTTGGGGGGGGAAATTGACTAATTTTCTTCACAAATTTTTTTTTTGGGAACAAATTTGTCAACGGGCCC